AAAGTATTTCGCCGTTCACGGTTCTTCTAGGGAATCCGCTATAACATTGAGTAAAACGCATTTTGTCGAAAATCAGCGATAGGGCGTCAGTTGCCTAGTACATATATTGCTATTGGAGGTCACTGATAATACCAGGTCGGGTCACAGGTCAGGTCACGAAGGGTCAGCACATGAACCCAACTTTAGGGTTGTACGATGCATGTTTTAGGGCCAATGTTTCATTTCCAACTCAATGGTGCTGGTTATAAGACCATCAGCCTACGGTTTAGGTCACTTTCAGGTGGAGGTCAGGTCAATGTCAGGTCAAAAAGGTCCAATTTCAAAGTTGATAGTTTTGCATAAAATGGGTATTGAATCGATGCAGCTCGTCACGGAGAGTCTAATGATGGTCTTTGTTTTGCGCTATGTGGTAAAAATTGCTAAAAATTTAGTTTGACGTCATCAACTTCGAGCAGTTTTTTTTTTCGTTATAACTTGGCCAAAAAAGAGGCATCGATCTCAAATTTGGTATGTGGATAGAAGACGGTAGAGACTATTACATATACTCCGTTTTTTTTCTGGAAATTCAAAGAAACTTTTTGGATTTTTTGCCTATTATACTCAAAACATTAGGTACTTTTTTATTTTTTTGGGGTCAAAATCCAAAATTTCAAAAATCCGAGATAGCAGTTTTGTAGCCCTGTTAATTCTACACCTGTTATGTTATAAACATTTGTCTGTATCTCTAAAGCCGTAGGCCTGCCAGCTCTTCCCGCGAAATCAAAAATCCGAAATAGCAGTTTTGTAGCCCTGTTAATTCTACACCTGCTATGTTAAAAACATTTGTCTGTATCTCTAAAGCCGTAGGCCTGACAGCTCTTCCCGCGAAACCTGTTTTGGGTCGAAAATGGCAGAAATGACGACACTCCGACGTCATTAGCGGCCGACATATCAAAGCCTTTGGAACCACTTTTGGTCACAATGTGTAAAAGCTATTCACGGGAGGGTAGGTACTGAAAGTTTGGTGACGATCGGCGCAGCTGTCCTGGAGATATATAGAAAAAAAAACTAAAGAGGGGGCAGAAAAATACCCCCCCCCCCCCCCACCGCCTGGAGGGATAAGGCAATATAAAGCATGCCTGTAATAAGTAGGGACTTAGGTGTAACAATTCACATTTGTTTTAACACGCGCAGTGGAAGGGGGGGGATTTCGCCCACCCCTCCTGTTTTTCGCCAATAACTCGCGCCGCAAACATAATATTAATGTGAAATTTCGGCTACCTGTCCAGAATTGAATTGCAGATCTTATCGTGCAAGAAATAAGAAAATCGGTTCACAACTTTTCTAGTAATAGCGGTGTAAAGTCAAACATCCTGCCGCCGCGGCGGCGCGGCGGCGCGGCGGCCGGCGCTAGCCGTTACGCGCCGCCTGAATTGTAGACTGTGCCGGGGCGGGACGGTTCCGTCTTTACATCGCGCTCCTTACCGCTAATTACATTAGATTCGCGTCAAATTCGGCGAGAAGACTGAGAAATGTACAGGCAATCATATGGTCAAAGAATTTTGAAAATCGGCCGGTAACAATTTGAGTTATAAGTGTGTAAACACAAAATTGTGATTGCCGCGTTTCCCGCGTCGGCCGATCCCGCTTCAGCCGGCGACATCTTACCCTTAGCAGGCTTCTAACTGCCATATTTATTGTTGGATTATCTAGAAATTCACCATACATACTCACAAATGTTTGTTCTTTCGTATAGTGAAAGAAAAAAGAAAATCGGCCGGTAACTTTTTAAGTTATCGGCGTGTAAACGCGAAAAAGTCGCTAATATAGCAGATTTGACCACATTTGACCTCATTTGACCTTGAAGATATTGACCTAGGGTCATGAAATTTACACACAACAGAGTTCCCTATGGCCCCCACTTACCCTCCAAATTTCGTCTTTCTAGCTCCAGTGGGAGCTGAGATCTTAGGGGGGGGGCGACATCCGCCCCCCCCCTTCCACTGGGCGTAGTACTCGCAACCCTTCCACTGCGCGTGTTAAGGAGATGACTTCATCCCGCGAGGGTCAACGTTTCAGTTTTACCTTTTATATCGTGACTTGTCGCAAAAAAATATGGTAAAGGCAGGTTAACACAATGCCTTTTGTCTTCCCAGTCGTCGTGGCGCTGTTGGTGGCGGTAGCAGTCGACCTGGCTTTGCTGCCTCGATCACGCTTTCACACCTGGCGCTCCCTGGCTCTGATGTACCTGGTGCGTCGCTACTGCCAACTGGTGGGCTGGTACAACTGGAGGCAAGTCAGCGCCAAGTACTCGGACCTTCGTGGCGCACAGGAGCGATTTGTTCTAAAAGTCGTGAAGACCCACGCCGATAGTGACTACGGACGACATCACAGCTTTGCAGATATTCGCTCACTGGAGGTTTGTACTACTCGATTTCGCGTCTTACCTAGCGTATGTAATCCATCATCAAACCAGCAAATATTTTTGGATATTGATCATGCAACGTACCCTGTCAAACAACCACGAATCCAGAGCTGAAGTACAACAATATGGTAGAAAATAGAACTGCATTTTAGCCAATGCGTTTTGTAATTCCCAAAACTCATTGTCTATTCGTGTGCCGTAACATATATCGACATCTTCTAGCTCACACAAGAGCGACTGAGAAGTCGTAGCTTAAAGAGAATAGTTCACTTTCACGAAATTAGTTTTTTGTAATAGGTTTATGATTTTTTATGCTTAAAATTGATCGGCAAAGACCTTTTTATAAAAAAAATAATTATTTGATATATTTTAATATAGGAAGAACTTGTAAGTTTTAAAACAGGGAAATGGTCCCTGCAAGGCACACATTCCTCAGCAAGGCACCTTTTTCGGGACGAGAAATGGAATATCATTGCCTAGGGTGATCATTGGGCCGTAAAAGCTCCTGATTTGCACTTGTCTCAGCTCAAGCTACGGAACTGCTATTCCAGTTCAAAACCCCATGTTAAAAGTGAACCATTTCCTTTAAGAACGACTGCAGTAGGATCTTCGGAAGAGTATTGTAACATACGGGTAGCATCACATCTCATTGGACGCTAAGTTTTTTTTTCTTAAGCGAGATCCTTGATGTAAGATCAGTTATTGCCAACGGCGCCAGCTCAGGGCAAAGGTCAAGCGTCGCATGCTTCGAGCACCGTTCACGATAACCTGTGCCCTGTAACCTTTGGGCATACTTGATAACCTGTAGCTTTACACTTAACACTTGAAAATGGCACAGACCTCACGATACAATTAATTGTACCGAGGATTGAAGTACAGTGTACACTGAAGCGCTAATTTTAGCCTGGTTTGTCTTTCAGGATTTCCGCCGTCTACACCCGGTTACCGACTACAGTCACTACAAGTCTTACATTGAACGTGCAATGCAAGGAGACGTGCGAGCCCTCTTCGGTCCGGGCCAGGAGCTTGCCATGTTCTACTGTTCCTCTGGGACCACCGGCGTCAGCAAGTACATCCCCATGACGAAGACCGGTTTCAAAGAGTATACCTGAAAGTAGTGGGCTGCGTTTATGGATTCATTGGCAAGTACTACTTCCCTCGAAACTTGTACAAGGTGGCGATTTTCCCATGTGCACCTCGCTGGAGATACACATCAACAGGTGTGAAGATCGGACCAAGCTCAGCGCACCAGCTATCAAGTGAGGTACTCGTCTGCCAGTATACAGTGCCTCTTGAGGCCAACATTATCAGGAAGGAGGCAGAGGCGATGCACGTAGCATTCGTGCTCGCTCTCAGGGATCGCGATGTCTATTTCTGGGAGGCGGGATTCGCCTTTAGTCTGTGGAACCAGCTGCAATTTTTGGAGCGAAACTGGCCTGTTATTGTCAATGACATCCGGTGTGGCAGACTCAGTCCGGCTCTGGATATCACTGAGAATCAGCGAAAGGCAATCGACTCCCTCCTCAGCCCCGACTCCGAAAGGGCCGCTGAGTTGCAGAAGGAGTTCGAACGAGGCTTTGACGGAATCGTACCAAGGGTTCTCCCTAACGTCCACATGGTGACTGCCCTGTCCTCTGGGACTTCGATGGCTGTGTACAGCGAAAGGTGCAAAAAGTACCTTGGACACCTGCACATCGCTTCCGCCGTGTACGCTGCCTCAGAGGGCGTCATTGGCGTGAATGTCAACGAGCCCGGAAAGCAGCCAGAGTATGCCCTAGCACCTGAGGCAAACTTCGTGGAGTTCCTGCCTGTGGACGAGTCTGGGGAGGCAGAGGAGGGTGCCACTCCACTGCTGGCCTCAGAGGTCAAGATGGACCAGCTGTACGAGGTGGTGCTGACCAACGCGACCGGTCTGTACCGGTACCGCATGGGGGACGTGGTGCGCGTGGTCGGCTCCTACCACGGCACGCCCACCGTCGACTTCCAGTTCCGCGCCAAACAGATGCTCAACGTGCACATGGAGAAGGTGTCGGAGGCGGCGTTCACGGGCGCGCTGCGACGGGCCGTCGACGGCTGGCCGGACCACCAGCTGGTGGACTTCACCACTGCTGAGAGCGTGCTGGACCCAGCCGCTGCCAGCGGTCGGTCGGCCGACTTGGCTGGCTCGCCTCCCTACTATCTGGTGCTGCTCGAGCTCTCCGGACCCTTGCTGCCATCACAGCAAACAACCGACATCGACGCCACCCTGCAGCAAGAGCACTTTGTGTACCGGTCGTTCCGCGTCAAGTCCTCGATTGGTCCGATGAGGGTGGTGCGTGTTCAGCCGGGCACTTTTGCTGCCTATCGTCAGCACGTCTTTGATACTACTCAGACCACCATGCATCAATTCAAGCAGCCTCGTGTTCTGCGAACAAAGGAGCAAGTTCAGTTCTTCTTGGATAGAGAGTTTTAGGTGCCGTTCCATCTACGCCTAGTCATTTTAGGTTACTCGTAATGCTGTTGACATTTTACTTTGACTCCGTTTGGCTATACGCCTTTGCTGATTGGCCTATCTTCAGCTAGGTAGGTACTGATGAATGTCTTGCTAATGCAAACATGGCACGGTGGTGATTTGGATGTTTGCGGGATGCATCAGCTGCTTATGCATTTCGCGTATGTGCCGCAATACACGTTTCACTGAGCTCTATGTTCTTTGAGAATGGACGATTTGAGAACATTACACAGGGTCCCACTAATGCTATCCTGGCAGTCGCCACTCTAACCAATACTCGGCTCTCTATCTGCTCTCGAAGCGAGATAAGCGACAAGCTATCAGTCGCTGCCCTGTTTTTAGATAATGTAGCGATGTTCGCTTGTTCGATTCGTTTAGTGAGTCCTCGGTGGCCGTAGTGATTGTTCGGTCTCCAATGATCCACTCAGTTAAACTGCCAAATCGTGACAGTTAAATATAAGTGTTTTTTTACCACGCAAAGCACTCCTTAGCCGAACATCAGTTGTCAAAAGCTTTTGATGGGTGATATTCGGTCAGCGCAGGTTACCTGGTAACGCACAGGCTCGTGACAACAGAACGTCTCAGGACCTGGCGGCTGTTATTGGAATGGGTGCAGCATCACAGCTTTGAGATAAAGAGCAAAGCTTGGAAGAACAAGAATGGGAGGGTGCCTGGCAACCGTGATGTTTTGGCTGTTTTCCGGTGAGTACCCGAGAGTGCAAGAGCCACTTCAACAGTAATGCCCAATGCCCATGCTCGTTTGCTTCTGCAGAAGTCAAAATCTAGCCCACTGCCTACATAAAAGAGACACATTCGATTCGAATGACGCTAATACAATGCGAAGTACGCTTATTAGGTACTTAATCGGTGTAATCGTTCGGTGCTGATTTTTCTTTTCCTTTTTCAACGTTTCAAGGAGACGGCTCCAATTATAAAACAAGAACATCAGGCTAAAGTAAGCCAAGCAAACCCAAACGATTGTGCTGATTTGTTGGTTCAAAGTTTTTGGCATTCATTGGCTTCCGCTTTGTCACAAAAAGTATCACGGCAGCGGACAATGCGAATGCATGGTTAAGAACAGTGCCTTTTGTGTCTACAGGCGTCGTGGCGCTGTTGGTGGCGGTAGCAGTCGACCTGGCTCTGCTGCCTCGATCACGCTTTCACACCTGGCGCTCCCTGGTTCTGATGTACCTGGTGCGTCGCTACTGCCAACTGGTGGGCTGGTACAACTGGAGGAAAGTCAGCGCCAAGTACTCGGACCTTCGTGGCGCACAGGAGCGATTTGTTCTGAAAGTCGTGAAGACCCATGCCGACAGTGACTATGGACAACATCACAGCTTTGCAGACATTCACTCACTCGAGGTATGTATACTAAACGATTACCTATGCTTCTCACTGTGCCCACCAACTCCAGAATCAAATAACCCATGTCGGGACGCTAGTTACGTCGAAGAACATCATGGAAAGCCATAATCCATAGGTGAACCAAACCAACAAGATCATTTGCTCTAGAGAGACCAACCGATATGATATCATGGGAGGAACGCAGCTGAGCCAACACCCGCCCAACGCTATTTAGGCGGGTTTCTTAGTTCCGTCTTCTTATTTTCAGGACTTCCGCCGTCTACATCCGGTTACCGACTACAGTCACTACAAGTCTTACATTGAACGTGCAATGCAAGGAGACGTGCGAGCCCTCTTCGGTCCGGGCCAGGAGCTTGCCATGTTCTACTGTTCCTCTGGGACCACCGGCGTCAGCAAGTACATCCCGATGACGAGGACCGGTTTCAAAGAACAATACCTGAAAGTAGTGGGCTGTATGTACGGCTTCATCGGCAAGTACTACTTTCCCTGGAACTTGTACAAGGTGGCAACTTTCCCATGCGCGCCTCGATGGAGGTACACGTCAACGGGTGTGAAAATCGGACCAAGTTCGGCACACCGGCTCACCAGTAAAGTACTCTCTTCTCAGTATACAATGCCTGTTGAGGCCAACATCATCAGGAAGGAGGCGGAGGCGATGCACGTAGCATTCGTGCTCGCTCTCAGGGATCGCGATGTCTATTTCTGGGAGGCGGGATTCTCCTTCAGTCTGTGGAACCAGCTGCAATTTTTGGAGCGAAACTGGCCTGTCATCGTCAATGACATCCGCTGTGGCAGACTCAGTCCGGCACTGGATATCACTGAAGAGCAGCGAAAGGCAATCGACTCCCTCCTCAGCCCCGACTCCGAAAGGGCCGCTGAGTTGCAGAAGGAGTTCGAACGATGCTTTGACGGAATCGTACCAAGGGTTTTCCCAAACGTGCAGATGGTAATGGCCCTGTCCTCCGGAACTTCGATGGCTGTGTACAGTGAAAGGTGCAAAAAGTACCTCGGACACTTGCGCATTGCCTCTGCAGTATATGGTGCCTCCGAAGGTGCCATTGGCGTCAATGTCAAAGAACCCGGAAAGCAGCCGGAGTATGCCCTAGTGCCTGAAGCAGACTTCGTGGAGTTCCTGCCTGTGGACGAGTCTGGGGAGGCGGAGGAGGGCGCCACTCCACTGTTGGCTTCAGAGGTCAAGATGGACCAGCTGTACGAGGTGGTGCTGACCAACGCCACCGGTCTGTACCGTTACCGGATGGGGGACGTGGTGCGCGTGGTCGGCTCCTACCACGGCACGCCCACCGTCGACTTCCAGTTCCGCGCCAAACAGATGCTCAACGTGCACATGGAGAAGGTGTCGGAGGCGGCGTTCACGGGCGCGCTGCGACGGGCCGTCGACGGGTGGCCGGACCACCAGCTGGTGGACTTCACCACTGCTGAGAGCGTGCTGGACCCAGCCGCTGCCGGCGGTCGGTCGGCCGACTCGGCTGGCTCACCTCCCTACTATCTGGTGCTGCTCGAGCTCTCCGGACCCTCGCTGCCATCACAGCGAATTGACGACATCGACGCCACCCTGCAGCAAGAGCACTTTGTGTACCGGTCGTTCCGCGTCAAGTCCTCGATTGGTCCCATGAGGGTGGTGCGTGTTCAGCCGGGTACTTTTGCTGCCTATCGTCAGCACGTCTTTGATACCACTCAGACCACTATAAATCAGTTCAAGCAGCCTCGAGTTCTTCGGACGGAGGAGCAAGTCAAGTTCTTCTTGGACAGAGAACTATAGGTTCTGCATCAGTCACAACTAGTTATTCTAGAGTCAAGTTTCGTAGCAAGTATCTGCTATGAAGTGAATGCGCAGTACCTAATTTCATTCCATCTCAAGCAAGAAGAAATTAAATAACATTTGCTTTGATATTTCCCTACATATGCGGACTGCAGTGATGACATATGTAGCCGACAGTTCCCACTGTGCAATGACTAATAAAGCGCATGGAATGTTTACCCGGTTTGTGTTGCCTTTGGCGACGATCCCTTGAGTTGAAGTGGGAGGACGGCATCCGCTAATCCTTGTTTGACACTATTTTGCGCGTCTGAAAAGATTCAGAACTTTTATACGCCCTGCAGTGTTTTTTTTTAGCCATCCAAAAGTCGCCTGATATTTTAAGCAGTGGCAGTGTTGCACTCCAGGATCATGTCGCATACCCCATGTCATGGCCTAGTACCTAGGATTTGGCCAAGGGGGGGAGGAATCCCGTGGGCCTCCATTCTACAGAGGGCCTCCTCTCTACAGAGGGCCTCCTACCTACAGAGGGCTTCCTCTCTACTGAGGAGTCAGAGAGGCCCTAGCGGTCGCACGTAAACACTAACTGTTATTCACAGGAGCCCCAGGTAGTAAAAAGAACCCTAGCTGTCAGGCTGGCCAGAGGGCCCTGAATGTCCTGACGTGATTTTTGGGATTCCCGTGAATTTCGTCCACCCGCGACTTGATTTTGGCTAACGTGCGCCTTCGGCCCACGGGGCCCTGATCCCATCCGGGGGCCCTGAAAACCCGAAGGGGGGGGGGGCGCCTGCCCTCCCCTTGAGTACGTCCCTGGTCCTGGCAAATGTCACGTTACCGAAACGCTGTGCGCCGCACCATCTTTGTGGAATGCTAAGTAGTTTCTAGTTACACAGTGTCATCACATCGCGAGCGCCATTAAAACGCTGCGCTAAGGGAGCCCACATGTCTGCAATATAGGGCTAACAAACAATTTTCAGCCTAGGCCTGAATTTTTACTTGACACTGAATTCTGCATCATCCATGTTAGCAGGACACGAGATGCAGTGCAAGGGCGGATCTAGGGGGTCGTTTTGGGGGGGGTCACCAGTCGGCCGACATACCAGGTCTGGTGAATGAATTCTGACGACCGGGGGGGGGGGGTAGGGAGCGAGTATGTCGAGATCAAAAAATGACATTTGATCTTCGTCGTTTATAAGATGAAGTTTTATCGTAAGTCACTCGGCTCAGTAGTTTTAGTTAGTGAAACCCACCTATATAGGAGCGTCGCCACGGATTTTTTACTGGGGGGGGGGGAGGCGGGTCGACCGACTTAAAAACCCAGAAGTAGATATAGTTACCTCACTTTTAGCCTAATGCATTAGTAAATAGTAGCATACAGTCACGATCTCTCTTATTGACCTGTGTATGAATCGGCGGCGCGAAGCGCCGCAAAAATTTGCAAAAAAAAGTTGTCAAAACACAGCTCTAAAACACAAATATTACAACCTTTTTAGCATGCTAGTACAAGCCGGAGTTCCTTCACAGTACACATATGAATTCCGATTCAATTTGACACGGTTGGTGTTATTACAGTCACTGTTATTTCTCTCTTATTGATTGGTGTATAAATCGGCGGCGCGAAGCGCCGAGAAAATTTGCAAAAGAATGTGTCGAAACACAGCTCCAAAACACAAATTTTACCACCCTTTTAGCATTGCAGTACAAGCCGGAGTTCCTTTACAGCACACATATGAATTCTGATTCAATTTGACACGGTTGGTTTATGTAATTACAGTCAAGATTTCGTATTGACCTGTACGTATGTACATAAATCGGCGGCGCGAAGCGCCGCGAAAAATTTGCAAAAACATTTGTCAAAACACAGAGGGGGCCTCCTCTCTACAGAGGACCACCGATCTCTACTGCGGGCCTCCTCTTTTCACAGGGCCTCTTAACTACAGAAGCTACAGGGCCTCCTCTCTACAGAGGGCTTCCTCTCTACTGAGGGTCTCTCCCTTTAAGAGGGCCTCCTTTACAGAGGGCCTCCTCTCTTCAAAGAGCCAGAGGACCTCATCTCTGCAAAGGGCCTCCTCTCTTCAGAGGGCCTCTTCTCTACAGAGGGCCTCCTTTCTTCAGAGGGCCTCTTCTCTACAGCGGGTCTCCACTCTTCAGAGGGCCTTCTGCATTCAGGCGGTCTCCTTTCCACAGAGGGCCTCCTCTCTACACAGGGCCTCCTCTCTACATAGAGCCTTCTCTCTACAGCAGGTCTCCTCTCTACAGAGGGCCTCCTCTTTAAAGGGGTCTCCTCTCTACAGGGGGCCTCCTCTCTACTGAGGGCCTCCTTTCTACAGAGGACCTCCTCTACAGAGGGCCTCCTACCTACTGAGGAGTCAGAGGGGCCCTAGCGGTCAGACACAGACACTAGCGGTTATTCACTGGAGGCCCCAGGAAGTAAGAAGGGCCCTAGCTGTCAGGCTGGTCAGAGGGCCCTGAATGTCCTGACGTGATTTTTGGGATTCCCGTGAATTTCTTTCGCCTCAGACGTGATTTTGACCTGCCAGGGCCCAGGGGCACTAAAAATAAAACAAACAAAATAAAAAATGAAAATAGGACATCACCAAAATTAAGTGACCGAAATCCGTTGAGTTTTTAATTTTGCGTATAGGTAGGGGCACCACGAATTAAATTCATGACCATCCCCTTGGAGTTTTCCTGGATCATCCCCTGGTGCTCGCACGGTTGAGACAAAAACGAGTAAGATTCTGGTCTTCAATACGCCTTTTCACGCAACACGATCCAGAAAAACAAAGGTATTAGCTCAGAAGTGTTTGACAGGTGATTTTGAGCATGCAAGACGGCGTCTATAGCGCATTTAGGTCTTCGGCTTTTGGGGGGGGTCAAATGACCCTCTCAGACCTTTTGGGGGGGGTCATGACCCCGTGGACCCCCCCCAGGATCCGCCAGTGATGCAGTGTGCGATGAAGAGGCATCGCTCCAGCGTCATACCGAGAGCATCTCACTGTAAGGCTCTCCCTCCCCAAGCCCCCTCTCTGCTAGACCCCTCAACCCCGAGCCCCCTCTCACACACACACATACAGCGCAGCGCCTATCTCCTCGCTTCATCTCACATCGCTTGCAGCGACGAGGAACACAACACGGGCCGCCGTCCCGCAGGAAGCGGCCTGTCCCCGGTCGTCGGACTCCCCGGCTCCCGCGGTCGGCCGAACAAAACCCCGGCAGTCGCCGCCGCCGTCGCCGCCGCCGCTGTCGCCGTCGCCCCCTTTCGTCCCGTCCATCTGTGATTGATATTCCTAATATCAGAGTTTGTGCCGCGCCGCACTGCCTGCTTTCCTTTGAAGAGTATGCGCGGGGCCCGGCCGGCACGCGCCAGCCCCCCGCTCCCCACGCGTCAGCCCCCCTCCTGTCATGAACAAATATTTGATAATAAAGAGCAATTTAAGCGTGAAGCTATCACGTCAGCAGTTGATTTCCTAAACAAAGGAAGATGATAAGCCGATGGTCATGCCATAATCGACTCACACTACTCGGAAATGGATTCTAAGAGCGTGCTGGGGCTCAGAGGCTGGAGAGTATCCCTTTCGATGGTCTATTACAGCCGCTGGCCGTACGGGACGAATTGATCCAAACATGTAAATTTGCGCCGGCCGGACCTGAGCGGAGGGCTAGTGTGCGGTGCGGAGTCATCGCGGCAGGGATTGTGTCCGCTCCGGGGCTGCTGGAGCTCACGGGGCATTATTGATGAGCCGCGAGAGACGATGGTCGGCTTACGGCATTAGTCGGGAGCTTGGCTCAGAGCGGCTGCTGGCTCGGCAGCGTGCCGCGCACAGTCGCTGACAGCAGGGGGTGACCGGCGCCAGGGACCAGGGCAGAGGAAGTGGAGATCTGACAAAGAAAGGCTTAAAAGCCGATCGCCACGCTCGCATTTCCCCCAGGGCAGTAATCGGTGACTCTTGAAAACCGTCGCGCTCGACATAAGTCCTTGGATGACAGAAGTCTAAAATATATCAACGATGATTGCTTGCTGATCGCATGGACAAAACTCTTTTTAGACGTTCACATTTTCTCGAAACTAGAAATAAAATGCATGAATGAATGGATGGACGAATAAATGAATGAATGAATGAATGAATGAATGAATGAATGAATGAATGAATGAATGAATGAATGAATGAATGAATGAATGAAGGAAGGAAGGAAGGAAGGAAGGAAGGAAATTAGACAAATGACAAGCATTGCCTACAGCTCCTAGCTTAATAACAAGTTTTGGTTTTAATAGAACCATTTTGCGCCCCAATTTTCTCGGAATATGGCAGCTGCTCCGTCCAGTCGAGGATCTGTTTCACGCCACTCTGCAGAATATCGCTCCCGAGGCGCCAGTCTCGAGCCAGGCCGGCGATCATCTAGTCGCTCCTAACGTGGAATACCAATCAGCCGAGGGAGGCCTGCCCCGGCTAACTTTCCGCGCCCAGTCTCGGTCTATGGTCTCCAATCAATGGCTCGGCCCCACTACTGAGCAGCCGCACGTCTCGGCGGCGCCAATATCGCACCCTGCCGCCCATTCTGCGGAACGATTCCGCATAGTTGGGAGCCGGCGCAGGCTGATGGGATTGACCTGAAGTCGCAGGTCAATGAGGGATGTTATAGGTCACCGCGAGTGACTCGATCCTCTCGTCCGCATATTCCCGTCTCCCTTCTGTCTCTCCCGGTACCCTCTCTCTCTCTTCTCTTGTCTACATTTTTCATTGATTTCCTTTTCCAGCAGGCTGCGCTGAGCGAGCAGGCTTGTTGACGGGAACCATTCATAAAGCCATTACAGGAAAGGGCCGAAAGTAATATCCACGGCTGTTGTGACACCTGCTACTCAGACTTCTCCGCCCACCTAGCCATCCTGTCAGCGCCTGCCCAGTGCCCAGCGATCATAGAAAGTTTCAAGCCCCTTCACCCAGCATCGAAGATCTCAATGACATCAACTTCACCCTCCGCATACGCTTCCCGCGTCCCTGCTCTTGTTTTGCCTGTTGAGGATGTATCATTACAAATTGATGCACTCGTCTGCCCGGGAGAGTTTCCTGTGGGACCTCGTTGTGTCTGTTTGTGCGTGCCTGAGTGCTGCTGCCCGGCAGAGCCCTCCCAGCCCTGTGCGCGCTGCCAGCCCTTGTTTCCATCTCGTATCGCCGCCTCCCCTCGGGATGGGCTGGGACCGTCCCGGTCTCGGGCCGGTTACTGTCATAGAATACTAGGCAGCAGGCTCCCGCATAAATAGACCTATTGAGAGGCATGACGCTGTGTGGCGGGATGTATGTTCAACCGATCAGGCCTCAGAATAAAAATGGCTAATAACTCTGGAATTTATGATTGAACATCGAAGGCATGCTACATTTCACGTTCCGCGGATCCCTAAACTGTGACAAAATGGAAAAATGTTTAATAGGAGACCCATGCATGCCTGAATATAAAATCAGCGAAAAGACATTTTACTACTAAAAATGCTGTTTTTGATACAGATTTACATATTTGGCTTCTCACCACATGCACCAATGCATAATGCTCGGTCCGTCTAGGCAATTAGCGTGGTTGCGGATAATTAATCAAGACCCATAGTAAGCACCAGCGAGCAGTGGCAATCGCTGCAACTTTACGCAGTCAGCGATGGTTACGATTTGTATATCTAACAATGGGCAAAACAAATGTGTCGAACGGCGTCGACAGCCACAAATTACAAGCATTTTCCAAAAGACGTGCTCCATTTGCTAGCACTTCTCGCTGCATTGCTGCATGCAAATGGTCTAGCTATCTTCTGTTAGAGCCATCAGATCTCGCGGCATTATATCGTTGGAGCACTGGTTACGCAGGATCAACTGCATGCTCCTCCCTTTGTTTACTCGCGACTCGCTTATTCACGTTCTATCTTGTCATCAAACACTGCAGTGCTGATACTGTCGGGGCAGATGCTGCTACCCAAGATTACTTTACTACTCCTGCTACCGGGGTGGAGGGGAGCTGCGCAGCTTAGTAGGTAAGTGCCCTCTGCACGAGGGGGAAGGGGTGGAATGGTGATGGGACGGTGGAATCATGCGATACGGGGAAAGAGAAACGAAAATGAAATAGGCAGGGATGAAATAGAGGCAGAGATAGAGGAAGAGAGAGAGAGAGAGAGAGAGAGAAAGAGAGAAAAAGTGAGAGAGGGGGTGGGGTAGGGCGAGAGAGAGAGAGAGAGAGAGAGAGAGAGAGGAGGAGGAAGAGGAGGAGGAGGAGGAGGAGGAGGAGGAGGAGGAGGAGGAGGAGGAGGAGGAGGAGGGAAAATGGTGGAATACCGGAATGACCGTTTGGCTAGAGACTGGAGCGTTCAGGGTAGCATTGTTGGCCCGAATTTCAAACTGAGGCTATTGTTCCGTTTTAATTAGTCCTCCGTGGGGATATCCGCCTTCGGTAGGTGCTCTGGTTCATAACCTGACTGTGATTCATTAATTGTCTAAGGGGATCGCAACGCTCACGGAATTCCAGGCCACCCTAGTGCGCTATGCTAATGACCGAAATTATGCTAAACGGGAGCGATAATGAGTGCGCTGGTGCACTGAGGTGCGGTCGGCGATAGGACGTTCGGTGGGGCCCGGCTGTGAGCGTCAGGTGTCTAGCAGGCGAGAAGTGTTGTCCAGAGGCCACTGATGGGAACTGCACAGTGCACAAGTTGCCGCGGTGATCGGAACGCCTCTAGTTCTTGTGTATGTGTATCCAGTGCGGTTGATTAATGCATTGTATAACAAAAGATTTATCACATTATATTACTGCATCGTTCTTTACATTTTCATAGCCGTACACCCACGGAGGCATCCTACGGAGCTGTATTCAGTTAGATGCATCATCTAGTCTTCCAAGTCAAACGCTCTCTGTTCTTCCAAAATCGTTTATTTGTTCTGTAATAATTCCAATTGCCAGAGAAATTGTGTTGAAATGCTGACCGTCTTTTGTACTCATTAAATCTTATTAGCTTCAATCTACTCAGGATTATAAACGTTTGAGGACTGAGGAGCTGCTGATGTGATGTTCCGACATAACCATTTTAGGCAGTGACAATTGTTACGTGAAAAGGGGCAGGTAAATTGTTATGTAGGTATGCATTAAAAATGCATTTTTTATGAAGTGCAATGTGCCGGTAACGGCGACGCCTCACGTTGATGTGGACAACAGAAGCATGTTGTGAGAAAGACAGGACAGAACCTGCACCTTTTCCCTAAAGCGCAAGCTCAATGTTCAATGTGTAATGTATGGAATTCGGGTAAGTACCAAAAATTTATTTTTAAAAAATGCTAAGCATAAGCTCAAATAGAGTCACATTATTCAATGCCTGATATGTTGACACTGTTTCGAAATTTAGTCCAGTACCAAAGCCAGACCAGTAATCCAGAGTTTATATGACGTGGAGCAGAAATCATTGCGGATTTCCTAATCCAAACATAGTTTATCTGGAGGAGAACTCCACAGAGGATTGGTGCAGGGCTTGCAGAGCGTTCGGTAGGCGAAGGTCTGGTCAGACGCCGCCAGACCCACACTGGCGTAGCAGTGAGTGTGAGTCCCACGGCTGAGATCGATTGGTGCTGGAAAGTCTGTCCACAATGGAAAGATGGTGGACGACACTGCTGTGGTCCGTACTGTCAGGTGAGTTTATTATTATTTATGTACCATATTTGACCCGCGTACAATGCGCAATGTGTAAGATAGTGTCATTTTACACTCCCTCCCCCGCAATTCTGAAGAGTATTTGAGGGAGATTTGGAGACGCTTGTATAAGCGCCATCCGCCACATAGCGCTTAGCGAGTATCACCAATGCGTGATTTTTGCTGAAACGTTGTTCCAGTAAATTTGCTGAATTCATATCGTGCATTGTCTTTTTCATAACTGGAATTTTAGGCGATGGAAATCAGAAATGCCGTTAGGGGAGAGCGGGGAGAGTTGTATCATGTCCAAGTTGTATCAGGGCGAATTGTGCCAAACTTATCCAATAGATAGCGCTCGTGACACGACCAGCCGACGAGGTTTTCCGGGCGCCATCTTTCCCTGTTCTGTCGTGTGGCTGGGTGGACGCGTCTCGAGGTGAGAGCCGATTTTATGTTTTTTTTAAATGTTATTCTAAAAAAATGAGTTGCAAGAAAATGTGTGTTTTGGGCATTTAGATGTGCACGAATTTGAAAGATCTCCGTAGCGGTGGTGAGGGTAGGTTCTAAGGCTGCGTGAGTGAAAATGGATTTCTCCAGCTATCCGCTGTTTTTGAGCACGAGGATTTTTTTTCCAAGATGGCGGCGAGGTACATGTTGTATCAGAGCCGGGTGGGGTATGTTGTAACATGTATGTATGTATGGGCATGTTGCTTTTGATCGCGAAAGCTAGGCCCTGTCTCGCGTTTTTAGGTAGCTAGTCAATACTCGTTCCATTTCGGCACAATGTGTTGGCTTCTTTGCTTTTAACGGGCCACTTTTGCATCTAGTTTGTTGATGTTTCGTTCGTTTCGATGTTTCGTTCGGATTGCATTGACCTAAGTTTGGTCTAATAAAAGTGAAGCCTTTGAGCATATACATTGTATTAACCCCATTTAATGTTGTTGTTATGTTCAAAACCAGTAGCAAGCACACTCCCTGAAACGTGAAATAGGTACATAGTGATACAAATTACCCCACCATGTGATACAACTCACCCAAGCCATGGGGCAAGTTGTATCAAAAACATTGTTCTATTCGGCAGACCGTAGAAGAAAAACTGGTAGAGGTAGCGGAAAAGTTACTTTGCACAAAAAAAGCAGAAGAATCAAGGGAGGAGATAGTATGGAAATAATGAGTTTATCACGGATAGTTACGAGGTTATGGGTCTCGGAGTAAAAACTGATACAACCCACCCCACTCTCCCCTATAGTGAATCCTATTTTTAATGGTTACCTCGGGCATGGGTAAAACCTAAGCATATAACATTTTTGTTCGTGAATTGATATGCCTATGTTTGTACCCATGCAGTATGCACTCTCATCCTAATGAGCTTTCACCACAGCCCACCTCTCTACCGGATGTTATGTTTTTAAATATGTTATTGTTCTTTCCAGGCGTAGCGGGGCTACTGGTGGCGGTGGCGGTCGACCTGGCTCTGCTGCCTCGATCAAAGTTCTACACTTGGCGCTCCCTGATTCTGACCTACCTGGTACGTCGTGCCTTCCATCTGATGAGCTTGTTCAAATGGAGAAAAGCCAGCGCAGGATACGCCTCTTTCTCAAGCGCACAAGAGAAGTTTGTACTGAAGACCCTGAAGCGGCATGCAGACAGTGATTATGGACGGGCCTACCGACTCTCGGACATGCACTCACTCGAGGTAGGGATACGCTTACGCAGGAGCATCGTTGAAACAAACAGGATATTTTGATATCAAGGGGTTAACGAATGTAGGATCAATCCATTTTATCTGTCGGACAAATTGTTAAACCGCGCCCCGCTGGGCTATTCAGCCATACGCGTCCAGGGGGGGGGGGGCAGATTCTGCCCCCCCCCCGTCTAACTTCCGAACCGATGGTCGTAGAAAGACGGAGGAAACGGCAATCGAAAGCTCTCAACAAGGCGGATCTTAAGAGCTATTTTTTGCTTAAGTAGGTCAGAGGTCAGGTCAAGGGTACAAAATGCAAGTTTCTACAGTATCGGCCTTGCACCGTAGTTGCCGAAGAATGGACTGAGACTGATTGCCCAAAACGTGTTCTTAGGCTTCCAAGACAATATTCGTTGCATACAAAATCATTCAAAGGTCAAGGTAAAGGTCAGGTCAGATCAGGTCAGGTCACCAAAAACCCTATAGAAAAGGGCATGTGCGACACATGTTTTATGGGTCACTTTATTCATAGAATTCAATAGGCACACTCAATGAGTAATATGGACCACCTCTGGATGAATTTCAGGTCGAGGTCAGGTCAAGGTCAAATCAAGTGAGGTCAAATTTTGACGTTGCTGTTAAGACCTAAAAAGGTGTCTCACTGATGCGATGCAGTTTTTCACGGCAAATCGAATGGTGCTATTTTTGTTTTCGTACGAGGTCTAGAACTTCCAAAAAAAAAATCATTTTTCTAAAATTTTGTGTGTCGTGACGTCATAAAGTTTTGAATAACTCCCACATTTTTGAACCGATTCTTCTAAAAAACTGGTATGTAGGTGCACATAGACCACTTCTCTGACCTATATTCCGGTTTTTTAGACCTACGCCAAAAATTTTGGATTTTATAATTATTTTCCAAAAAAAGTCAGCTTTTTGAAAAAATGGGCTAAATCCAAAATTTTCAAAAAACCGAGGTAGCCATTTGATAAACGAAGTTGAATCACGTATAACCTTTTTTGTTACGTCTTGATTCCTTTAAAAATGAAAATTTTAGCGGCGTTTGAAGTTTTGCCGTTTTTGAGGCGAAAATGGCGTGACATGACGTCACCTAACCGTCATTTTCTAAAAAAAATTCCGACAAATTTCGCTCAAATTTTCAGGGTACGTGTTAAATTGATGTATGGTAAGGTACTGAAATCTTGACGTCGCTGCCAAAACGCGTTTAGAAGTTATTGGTGAAAAACGGGAGGAGGGCAGATTCTGCCCCCCCCCCCCAGTGCACAGTGGGGATTTTTCCGATCTAGCGTCTCTTAATTCAAAAAATCTTTTTCGGATTTTTGTTTATTTATTGTGTCAGTGGGGCTAAAAAATGTCTGAATTTTTCATATATGGCATTGTTTTATCTGTATGTCCACAGCAAGACTAGGAAAAATGCGCCCAAAGTTAACACTCATGCGTGATTATTCAATGGGCTCAGTAAGGCCCGAAAGTATAGCTCAATTTCATTGTCCTGTCCCGTTGGTTTTAATCTTGCGAGGTCTTAAAGTTGCATATCTTCTGAAAGGCACCTTTATTGGGAATGGAATGGCAAACAGAAAGTATGCCACAACCTTACTAAGGTCACAAAAATGCCATTTACAAAAACCCTTACAGACACCATGTTGAAGGAATGGTATTCTAAATAAATGTAGGAAATCAACAATGTTTTCCACACTTTTCCACTCCGAAATATATCCTATCAAATTCGCCACTTTCTCCTGCACAAGTCAACGCCTAGTTTGGCTGCCGGAACTTGCCTGAACACGGAATATTCACATTAGAGTATCTTAACACCCCACTCTAGGAGCGCTAGGGCAAACAGCACGATATAGGTATGTTCCGGACAGAGGCGAATAATTTTACTTCGTGATTTGTATGATGCATATTTTCTGAGACACATTCATTAGGAATAGGATGACAAGTGTAAATAATACATACCGTAACCTTATTAGCCCTTGCACTTGTGGGGAGGGGGAGGGGGAGGGGTCGGATAAAACCCCATGGTTTTCCGCAAATTACTCGCGCAAAAAGCGGCCGATCGCGACGAAACTTTCGGTGCCCTCGAGATCATCAATTTAAAACTTTCATGACTCTGACCCAACTGACCTTTGACCTGTGGCATATTTCTCGAGACCATGTTTGGCCGGAATCGTGATTCGGCGTATGCCAGTTCACATTATCCGCGGTTTCCAGTCTTTTTGTGGTTTTAAACGCTCAAATATGTGAAATGATGTTGGTGCCATGCATTATGGTGGGTGATGAGGTCACGTGAAGGTCAAGTCAAGGTCATTGACCTTTGATGACCTTGGTTCACTTTTTCGGGTTTTACTTGTTTCTAGGGTACTTTTTGGTGCTGATTTCGAATTTAGCAACCATTTGAATATTTACGAAGTAGTTCTGGTGCCTTCGTACCATGTTACGAAGCTATCAGTAGTAGGGGAAGATGGGGGAACACCGCCCTTTGGGGAACACCGCCCACCCTGATATCAGAAATATAAAAAGGTCTAGGGCGACAGCTGGCTGTCTTTTGGCAGCGTTACGACAACAGAAGTGCAGGTATGGGCAGTGCACCGCATTGGTTTAGGTGATTTGCGAGAAATTTCTAATTTTACGTTTCGTGAATGCGTTTTATACTTTTTCTAGCATAATAAGCAGAAGAAAACTAATCTTTTTTGACAGACATTAGTCCTGAAGTAGTATTTAATGCCATAATTAGGACTCATCCAAGCATTACGTGCTCCTGCTCGAGCGAAATTTTTGTCATGCTGCCATATTGAAGGATTTTTTAAGAAAAATGCAGACACTTGGGTAACACCGCCCACATGGGAAATTCGGTATCTAAAAGCACATTGTGACACCTAACCCAGGAGTGGCGCATTTCAAATAATGAAAGACCGTTGTTTCTATGTTTTCTTTTTAGAGAATAATAAAAAAATCGAGAAAATGAAATTTTGGGACTTTTAGTCGCCTAGTTATATAAATAATTACTACATTGTCCCAGGGATATAATAAAATCGTTTCCACTGTATTTTAGAAATCTACTAAAACGCCTCGGAATTTTCGATAAGAAGAACAACTTAATAGTCCAGCAATCTGCAAATTTCGTTGCCTGCTGAGCTCGGACGGTGTTACCCAACGGTCGGTGTTACCCCGAAAAATGTAGACATTTACTAAATGTGGAATAATGCAATTATGAACGACACTACAAGAAAACAATTGGTTGATATGCATGTAAAATTGATGCGGCAATCCAATGAAACTGAGAGATTGATCATTTGGCCAAAAATTACGTGACTAGACCCTAAAAGGTTAAGGGGGTCGGTGTTCCCCCATCTTCCCCTAGCTGACACCTACTATGAATGGCCGGCAGGACGCCTAATGGTTTCTAACCTGACCTGACCCGACCTGGCCTAAATGCATAAAGACATCGTCTGTGATCAAAATTAGCATGAAATTCGTGATCAGCACCCCAAAATACCCCGTAACACCCTACCTTTGCGAAGTTTCAAGAGGTCTCGATTTCCCAACTTTAATTGGGTCATTAAGCTGACTTGGAAAGTCAACTAATGGCCTTGGACTTTGAAATTGGATATATTCGGCCTCATTTCGTCATAGGCAGCACGCTTGATTTTTCCGCGAAGCTCTAGCTTGATCAGGGGCCAAACGGCTGAGCCGGGGGTCCAATTGAACCCCCTATACTATGTTCACTATGCACATTTACAGGTAAAATTATCACCAGAACACACCAGCCAACATCTGTGCACAATCTGGCTACAATATTACCTATGGTTTGCCCTCTACGAATAAAGACGTGCTAGATCGGAAAAATCCCCACTGTGCAGTGGGGCGCGGGTTAAAAGGCCCGCCACTCGCCAGTATTTTCACGATTGCTGTTCAGGGCATGGTGATTGGTTGTGCTAGAGAAATCCAACGGGGACGACTCAAAGACGCATTTAAATTAAGCAAGCCAGTACTGTAATTGAATGCATGTGACGATCGTTTTATGATAGTCCTACTTTGTTCTTTTTCAGGATTTTCGACGCATGCATCCGGTCACCGAATACAGTCACTACAAGCCATACATTGATCGTGTAATGGAGGGTGATCTGCGCGCTCTCTTTGGCCCAGGCGAAGAGGTCATCGCGTTCTACTGTTCATCGGGCACTACCGGCGTCAGCAAGCACATCCCGATGACGAAATGCGGCCTCTTTGAACAATACGTAGCCATGTTAGGAGCCATATGTTATTTTCCTTCGAACCTTCGGAAAATCGTCTTCCTGCCGGTCGCACCTCGCTGGAGATACTCCCCATCGGGAGTGAAAATTGGGGCAGGCTCAGCACACGCTCAGTCCTCTACAGGAATTGCTTGTCAGTATACGATGCTACCAGAGGCTAACATATTTACCACAGCCTCGAAAGCACTTCACGTGGGCCTGGTGTTAGCACTACGAGACGTCCAAGTTTGCATGTGGGATGCCGGTTTTGTGTTTTCCCTATGGAACCAGCTTCATTTTCTTGAAAATAACTGGCCTAGCATAGTCGAAGACATCCGCTGTGGCAGGCTCAGTCCGGATCTCGATGTCACGGAGAAGGAACGGAAGACGATCAACTCCTTCCTCAGTTCCGACCCCGAGAGAGCTGCCCAGCTGCAGAGGGAGTTCGAACGAGGCTTCGACGGTATCGTGCCGAGGATGTTTCCTCATATGAAGAAGGTGATGGCCCTTTGCTCTGGATCCTCGATGGACGTCTACAGTGAACGATGCAAGCCCTACCTGGGCAAACTCTCGATCACGTCAGCAATATACGGAGCTTCTGAAGGGATAGTGGGTTTCAACATTAAAAACCCTGGCGAACAACCTGCCTACGCCATGCTCCCTAGGATCAACTTCGTGGAGTTTCTGCCTGTGGACGAGTATGGGGAGGTGGAGGAGGGCGCCACTCCGCTGCTGGCCTCAGAAGTCAAGATGGACCAGCTGTACGAGGTGGTGCTGACCAACGCCACCGGTCTGTACCGGTACCGGATGGGGGACGTGGTGCGCGTGGTCGGCTCCTACCACGGCACGCCCACCGTCGACTTCCAGTTCCGCGCCAAACAGATGCTCAACGTGCACATGGAGAAGGTGTCGGAGGCAGCGTTCACGGGCGCGCTGCGACGGGCCGTCGACGGCTGGCCGGACCACCAGCTGGTGGACTTCACCACTGCTGAGAGCGTGCTGGACCCAGCCGCTGCCGGTGGTCAGTCGGCCGACTCGGCTGGTTCGCCTCCCTACTATCTGGTGCTGCTCGAGCTCTCCGGATCCTCGCTGCCATCACAGCGAACTGACGACATCGACGCCACCCTGCAGCAAGAGCACTTTGTGTACCGGTCGTTCCGCGTCAAGTCCTCGATTGGTCCGATGAGGGTGGTGCGTGTTCGCCCGGGAACTTTTGCTGCCTATCGTCAGCACGTCTTTGATACCACTCAGACCACTTTGAATCAGTTCAAGCAGCCTCGAGTTCTTCGAACGGAGGAACAGGTCAAGTTCTTCCTTGGTAGAGCGTTTCCAACGGAGAAATGAGTCAGGCTTTTCTTCCTGACGGCTATTCATCGGCAGTGCTTATTTTCATTAGCGGTGAGCAGAGCTGGGAAGCGTTGATGAACGACATATGCGTAGACATAATCTGTAAGATGCTGTAGTTGACAGCTGACTGGATTCAGCTTTGAGCTTTCGACAAGCAAATACTTGCATTGCACATGCAAACATAATGATTCAGGCTCTTGGCTCTTCAGTCTTCACACATAGGCGCCACATGGATAATGTGAATTTGCGTGAAGAATGGACTATCGCTAGTGAATGCCGCCTGAATAGAACTTCAAGGGCGTTTGCCAGCGTCGAGTAGTCATTAGCCGGATTCGCTTACTGAGAAGCCGAGAGGTAGTACGGCATCGATGACAGATGGTTCAGTGCTTTGCCAGTTTTAGACTTGGCGTTTGCACGCAGGGAGTCGCACAGGACCACAAGGGTGCATTTTAGGCCCAGTGTTTTGTGTAACTGGGGCTTGGCAAAGCACGTCGCACGGGAAAATAGCAGTGTATGTCAATGATGCTTAGTTTGAATGATAAACGTGTTTTGTTGTCTTCCTTCTAGAATAAAAAAGCTGTGAGGAAGAGGCTAGCCTTTATTCTTCTGATTAGGAGCAGGGTGTAAATCGTACGATTAGCAAACCAATGTTAGTCAGCGCCCAATCTTCCTTGGATACGAAAAACTTTGGCGTTTGCTTCGGAGCAGATGCACTGAAAGACTCTCCTGACTGGCCTTCCACAAGTAGGCATACTATACACTGTAGGTATACAGTCATGCTGGTGTCCCCTGAAATCAAATAAGTGCCTACCTAATCTGTGCTACTTTTGTCCATTAATGTAAACTTCAGGGGTGTTTTGCTAAATGGTTGCCGCCATTCTGTTGTTGGATTATCCCACTCCGGTCGAACAGTTAGTTCATCATACGACAGATGTGCGTCCCATTGTGGTGCACCCTCATTGTGGTCGCCCTGAGGCCAGCTGTCGGGGATGGGGGCCCGCGCGCCCGGAGGCCGCGGGTGCTCTCATTGCCCGCTCCGCCGACGCGGCCGGCCGGTCCCCAGCCTACCATGGTGACATCAGCTGCTCACTGCTCAGTCTACACTGCTCTATCTGAAACTGCATCATTGACTCTACATACAATGTGTTCAGTCCGTGTGCACTAGTTGATTTTTTTTGCATGTCCGGAGTCACCGGTATTGTATTAGGTAATCATCGGATAACTGATAATCTGCCTATACAAACACACGTGTAGGTATACACCGATCGGTGGCACCGCCAAGCAGGAATGGCTGGAAAAGGATTCGCAAGTTAGTATTGTTAGAGTGAGGACAGTTAGTGTTAAAGGTTTGTGAGGGAATGCTTGACGGTGCCAATCAATCAATCAATATGACAACCAGCGCAGTCAGTGGTCGTGCACATCTGGGCGCCATCGCTCGGCCCGCCACAAGGCTATCTCAGCCCCCAACAGGCCGAGGCCCACCATCTCAGACAGCCGAACGCACCAGATATCACACCCGTTATCGGCCCGTGTCCAGGACCAGAGACAGCCGCAACACAAATTCCATTATTGTGGCCCATGAGCGCCCGCAACCACACGCCATCCTGGCCGCGGCCAGCGGTTCAACGTCCAGGCGCATTTTAATGTGGGTATATATAGACGCGCTGGCCGCGGGAATGTAACGTTGAAGGAACTGTCAATCAAGTCATTGCAATACAATACAGTTAGCACAATACGAAGCTGGTAATGGAAGTGCGTCGACGTCGAGACTTCTTGCCAGCGGATATCTCACTGAGACAGAGAGCGCTGGAGTTGACTGACGAGTTGAGCAGACAGCCAGGCAAAGTAGGTTATTATGACCGGATGGAGAATCACTGCATATACATAGCTCACCAGCTTCATAGAACATGCCGGCGTTCCGGCGGCACTGTAGCCACCATCATTTAGATTGCACTCGTTATAGGGCACTCGTCTTCTAGAACTGTCTAACTCGGCGACAGGCAGTCGACTCGGCCGCTCGCTTCCCGCCGGATATGGGCCTGTGAGCTGTCACGCAGCCTGTCTTACACTGCACGGCCGGGGAAGGCGTGTTCAACAATTTTTAATGACGATGTCGAGGCAGTCGGACAGTCCTGGGACGCCAGGCATCGCCATCCGAGCGACTAACTTCGCCTCACTTCAGAACTTGGCCACCTCTTCAAGGAAGTCATCTGCTGATTAGTGTCTCAAGGACAATCATCCTCCGAAATTAAACTGCTGCGTCACAATACGGTCCGTCATTGTTATGAGCTCATTTTGAAGGAGCTTCCTTCTAAAGCGCCAGGAGAGGTAATCCAGAGCTCCGAATGTCAACAACTCAACAGAGCAGAAGCTGATTTGACGAGAGTCTGTATAGGTAGACGAAAATCAGCAGCCATATCTGGACTTACTTGTGCTCGGCATAGAAAGGATACGAGTAATTCAAATGTTTTAATATATAAATCAAAGTATTATAAACATACAGGGTGTCCCAGAAAAAAGTACCACATTTTTTTTAGACAATATATTTTTTGTTATTCGGCACAAATGCTTTAAACGCATATCAAAAGCGAGCCAGTTCCATGGAGATTTATTTGCACTGCAAATGGACCATGCCACTCATTCCTGTCACTCACACCGGCACATGTTCGAAGTGCCTGCCTTCTTGGGCCAGGCACCGCTCCGCCCTGCACCTGGCTTCCTCTGCGACCCGAGCACTTGCGGAAGGTGGAGTCGCGCGAATGGCCGCGCTAATCGCCCGTTTCAGTGTTGCTAGGTCTTCTGGTGCCTCCTGATATACCACACGTTTCAGATAACCCCACAGGTAGAAGTCGAGGGGCGTGAGGTCAGGGGAGTGCGGCGGCCAGGTCACCGCGGCCCGCCGGGAGATGACACGCCCCTCTGGACACTCGTGCAGCAAGGCCAAGTTGGCGCGTGATGTACGCGCCGTTGCGCCATCTTGCTGCAGCCACTGCTGGTTCAGCGTGTCCGCGCACCTCGCTGCGAGGTCCCGCAAAAAGCATTTGAGCATGGTAAGGTAGCGCCGGGAATTGACATTGACCGTCTCGCCAGCACCATTTTCAAAAAAAAAGAATGGGCCAATGATTCCCTGCGCGCTCAACGTGCACCACACAGTCACCTTCGGGGAATGCAGCGGAGCCTCGAGAACTTCCTATGGGTGACCGTTCCGCCCAAAACCTGTAATTTTGGCGGTTCACTTGCCCGTTCAGATGAAAATGGGCCTCATCAGACCACCAAACACAAGACAAGAAGTTTGGGTTGTTTGTGCACTTTTCCAAAAACCATTTGCAAAAGTGTTCCCTCTGCTCAAAATCCGCAGCAAACAGCTTTTGAGACACTTTAAGCTTAAAGGCAGCTAAGGCGAGATCCTTCTTGAGAATCCTGTGAGTGGAGGACTTGCTGAGACCCACCCTAGACGCGAGGCGCCGCACCGACACCTTCGGCGTCTGACCGACCTGCTCTGCGACCTTCCGTATGGCCTCCTGGCTGCGAGATGTTTTTTTTTTCCGACCACTGTTTCCGGCATTTTGGTTACTAATGGACCCTTCTGCCAAAAACTTCTCAGTCAGACGTTATATGGTCTTTATCGTTGGAGCTTCTCGGACCTTAAAATGTCTGCGATACTGCCTTTGCGTTAAAACGGCTGATCCGTGTCTGAGATAAAATTCGACTATTTTGGTTTTTTGTTCAGCATTAAACGGCCTCATAGCTGACAGAGCGCTCGTGCCATACAACATAATTTCCATGAACCTCGCTTTCGATTGACATTAAAATTTCACATGTCGCGCGCACATTTTTCTTTGTACTTCTAATTTAAATATGGTACTTTTTTCTGGGACACCCGGTACCACATGGCAAATAGGTATGTACAAAACGCAACTACATTTTGACTTGAGATGATGCATTGTTACTCATTCTTTTTTTTTTAACCATGGGTCTCTGGATAACAAATCACACTTACATGACTGTCACAGGTGAACCGAAGAGGTGATGCATCGCTTGTGTAGTGCAGGAGCGCAGACACTGCACCTGCAACTGTCGACGAGGACATAGGTATGACAGGCTTAGAGCTCCGAAAACACTAAAAGGTAAAATTTCTGCTTTTGACATCATTTGAATTAGAGGACCAATTAGCAGTTGACGCACCATTGTTTTTATGCAGTTGGCCCTCGCTCACTGACCATTGTCAAAGTTGTTTAGGACGTAGGCGGCGGAAAGGGGAGGGCACCGGGGCTCCGTGCCCCCTTTGATTTTGGCATTTTAACCCGCGCGGGCTGGGGGGGGGGGGTAAATTTTACCCCCCTCGCGAATTTTTGCAATATCTCAAAAACGGCGGAGCGCAGCGCCGCCAAACTTTCAGTACCTTTTCTTACATCAATTTGACACGTTCCCTGAAAATTTGAGCGAAATCCGTCGGAAAATTTTTGAGAAATTGACGTTTTAGTGACGTCATGTTCGCCATTTTCGCCTGAAAAACGGCAAAAGTTCAAACGCCGCTAGCATCTTCATTTTTAAAGGAATCAAGACGTAACAAAAAAGGATATACGTAATTCTACTTTGTCTATCAAACGGCTATCTTGGTTTTTTGAAAATTTTGGATTTTGGCCCAAATTTTTTCAAAAAACTGACTTTTTTGGCAAAATAGCTATAAAATCCAAAATTTTGAGTGTATCGAAAAAACCGGAATATATGTCAGAGAACTGGTCTATGTGCACCTACAAACCAAGTTTTAGAAGAATCGGTTCAAAAATGTGGGAGTTATTCAAAATTGTATGACGTCACGACACACAAAAATTTTGAAAAATGACTTTTTTGGAAGTTCTAGACCTCGTAAGGAAACAAATATAGCACCATTCGATTCGCCGTGAAAAACTGCATCAGATAGACACCTTTTTAGGCCTTAACAACCAACTTCAAAATTTGACCTCACTTGACCTGACCTTGACCTGACCTCGACCTGAAATTCATCCAGAGGTGGTCCATATCACTTATTGAGTGTGCCTATTGAATTCTATGAGTAAAATGACCCATAAAACATGTGTCGCACATGCCCTTTTCTATATTTTGTTTTTGGTGACCTGACCTGACCTGACCTGACCTTGACCTTGACCTCTGAATGATATTGTATGCAACGAATATTGTCTTGGTAGCCTAAGAACACGTTTTGGGCGATCAGTCTCAGTCCATGACTCCATTCTTCGGCAACTACGGTGCAAGGCTGATACTGTAGGAACTTGCAATTTGTACCCTTGACCTGACCTTGACCTTGACCTCAAACTTAAAATTAAGTACATGTTTTTAGTTGTTCGTGATGAGATCTTTCGATTGGCGTTTGAATTTTCCAAATCGGACCATTAGTTCGGGAGATAACAGGGGGGGGGGTAAAATTTACCCCCCCCCCCCAGCCCCGCGCGTTCGGCTGGAGACCCCAGCCCCGCGCGGGTTAACATTAGCCCTATGGGCGTTGCATGGAAAGAATGGGACCAAAAGTCGGCAGTGCCCCCCCCCCCCTTAACCCGCGCACCGACGGGGGTCTGCGCCAACTTAGTACCGACGG